GGCGGCAAGCTGACCAATGGCGAGGCAAAGTGTCAGATTATGGCACGGCTAATGTTTTGCAGCATACCATGACAGTTGGTCCAGGTGCTATGATATACAGTGCACCTGAAGCGCATACTAAACATCAAACCGTCAAGGTATGTCTGAAATTTGAATATTGGAGTTATATTTCTCAGTTGTTTGATTGTGATTACTATGGAGTACAATGCTTGCATAGCAATGAGGCAACATTCCTCTGACGTAAGAAAACTGCTAAAACACAACAAAAGAAAAGAAAGAGGAAGGAAAAGATAAATGAAAATATAGGAATTTAAACTAGCTCGCAAGTTCATTCATTTTCAACTTTTCATTGTTATTGTCTTTTCGAGCTTAGGTTGATGTGTACAGTTTTGGAGTTCTCCTCTGTGAGATTTGCATCCGGGAACTACCGGATCCTGACAGGCGCGACGAGCAAGTTGCCATGGTGACAAACCGAGCACTGCGAACTCTCATCTGGAGATGTCTGAAACGAGCTCCTGAAGCGAGACCCAGCATGGAAGACATCATTGGTGAACTGGAACAACTAATGTTAGATTAGTTTTGACAAGATCTGCTCTTCTCTTCACACTTGCAATCAAGTAGCACGCGAACCTCAGATCTATGATAGCCTGTTTAAAAGACTTTTTCATGGCACAAGTGCTAAAATAATACCTAATCTCATTTTTCAGTAGTTTCAGTTTTTAGTTTGTCGGAAGTGCACGCGCTTTTGAGCATGCATGTGTGTCTGATCGCCACGACCATCTTCCGTCAGCTTTTTTAGGTTGAGTCACCGTTAGTTCTTTCCCGAAGGTGATTTAGGTATAAATAAGGAAGAAGTATTTTATAACTAGAATATTTTTTCGAGTATTCAGCGGCCCCCAATGGTGAAATTTAGTCATAGTCTTCATACGGTTTTCGCATTTTATTCTGTGAAATGTCAAATGCAAGTAAAAAATTTGACAAGTGAAAGACATTTAAAAAGCATTTGAAGTGCAAGTAAAAAATAGCGTTTAATCAACTTTTAAATTAAATAGTTATTGAAGCCTACATTAAATCTCACGCATGTGCTTTATGCCTGAATCGTAATTTGTGACTGAACTCAATCGATTCGGATTTTTTAATACTGGTCTGCAACAAAGTCCCTTAGCAATGAGACTTTGATATAATCGATTAGCACAGTTTTTTTTGCAAAGTGCATTCTATGTATAAACTCTAGACTAGGTAGAAAATGTAGTTTGTAGATCACACACTGGGTATGAATTGTAGCCTAGCGTAGAAAAATGTCTAATCGCACAATGAAATGATAGATGAGGGAATGATGATTAACATCCTGCTGATTAGCCACTAGACTTATTGAGATTATATAGCTGATGTTTCTATTTTGACTGGGATTGATTCTTTCCTTTTCGAACGTCGTTAGAAGTTATAAAGAGAGCTGAGACTATTGTGTGATTTACAGGTGACTTCAGTGTTAATATCATATGTTACGCTATTATGTACATTTAAATCCGGCATAGATAAATTGTCTATAAATAGCAAAGACAGCAATAGCTTGATAATACAGTTATATTCCACAATCGAAAGTGATACATTTATAAGCAGAAACTGCAAAGACTGTTTGCAGTGCGATCAAGATAGAAATCAAACGTAGTAGGATGCCTTTAACTGTCAGTCTCATTTCTGTCAGTCTCATTTCTTGAAGTCTGTTGGCCAAGTATTTTCATTAAATATATTTAAATCTATCACTCCCAGGAGTGACCAAGAGGAAACTTCTCATTTCGATAACAACATATTTTTAACTAAACAGGAGACACTCTGCTTGTTTGTTTGCAACACAGAACAAAACCTGTGAGTCATGCTCTGTGAGTAAAATTTGATGAGCAATCGATTGAATCTAAATTGCTACTGGTGGTCAGCGTCTGATCAATCAGGCTTTCAAGGGACCTGGGACAGTTCAATAACCGTCTCGTGGACTCCTACACCGAGGTCCATATCCCAGAGACCGTATCCTAGATTTTGGATTTCGTCATGACTTCGAAAAAACTTTACGTCATTGCAGTTCCTTTTACAACAGTAATTATGAATCCGTTTTCAAGGAATTTTGTCCTTTTTTTCTCCTCATGTTTGGTTTAATTTGCTCTCTGTTTCCTCCACAATCGGAGATGTATTATTTCAGTTTATTTTTAAGGTATTTTCATCAAATCAGCTGTAATTGTCGAAAATTTGTAGTGACAAATTTATATAAGTCTACTAAAACTTACACCATGAACATATTAAATCGCTAAATTGCTGGAAAGTTGGGAAAAAATTTAACTGGCTGCACAGGAAGGTGAAAAATGACGAATTTTATCATTAAGTCCTTCAAACATTTTCAACATAGTCGATAAGAAAGCGAATTTAAATTTAAAACAACTCCATTCTCCTCATTTTCCTTCTCTTCTTAACCTCCCTTGCGAGTCGCCTCTCCTCAACTCCCCCGTGACAAAAACTACGAGTCGTGATTCCAGATTTCTCCGAGAGGAATGATTCATGCGTATTAGGAAATGTAGCGTGATGCCAGAATGTTCACTGAATCAAAGGTTTCGCGTGTGTTCTGTAAAATGGCCGATAAGCTTTTGAATAATTATGTCACATGCAATGCAGAAAGTTCATCAAGCCGCTCGTGACGGTTCTTCCGATCTGGAAGGCAACGAGATAACTACTCCTCTGATCATCGCCGCTTGTAATTGACACACTAGGATTCTGTAAAGATTCTTCTTAGTCATAAAACAGACATCGAAGTCCGAGGAACTTTCGAAGTTGGCAGCAACGGCGGGACTGCGTTTATCGAGGACTGCACAGCGTTGTGAGCCGCTGCTGCTTATGGTCATGTTGATGTTGTAGGACTCCAAGTCGAACGAAACGCTCAAGTGGACAGCAGAACATCGAGGGGTTCAACTCCCTTGTAGGCCGCTTCTTGCTGTAGAAGGTACGCTATTGTGAGTTGTTTGGTTGAGCACGGAGCCAACGTAAACGCACGCAACTATTATAATAATATCCCTCTAATGGCGGCATGTTTCTATGGTCACAAGGATATTGCTTCCTATCTCGTCGAACATGGTGCAAATATACATCTATTAAACAACAATGGAAGCCGGCACTTGTCTTCACTTTGTTGCAAGCGAGCTTTAGGAGCGAACATTTTGTTCGGCAAGAACAAAACGGTCAACGTTTAACACCACTTCTTTATGCTTGTAAAACTTGTGAATTTGAAATAGTGGAGTATTTCATCGACCTACCAGGATGTACGAAAGAACAGAGAATTGATGCTCTTGAGCTTCTTGGTGCCACCATTGCTAATGATCCTAATGCTTATGACATTGAAAAAGCGTTTAGTTTCATGAAGCGTGGAATGGAAGAGGGGTATGAGGACCCGTCATGTCCTTTGCTTGAAAAGAAAATGGAACCATTGGAGGCTTATCAAAATAGAACAGAGAGTGAAACTCTTGAGGAACTTTCTCTCCTAGAAGGAAATGATTATGCCATCCAGATGGTGGGACTTCTAATCAGAGAGAGAATCCTTGAAACTGACAATACACTACTACGAAACCCAATCAGACAGCGAGGAAGAGTTTTAGCTGAGTTTTTCCTGTCCAGGAAAAGAGGACTGAGTGCCATGGACGTCAATACCAGAGATGTAAGAGAGTTTTAAGCGTTCATTAATTTTTTTAACGCAAACCACTCTGTCTTTTTCAGTCAATTGAAAACAGCTGATGCAAAAAGTAAAGTGATCAATATCATTCTGAGATTCTGTAAATTGATAGTTTTTTTGGATTCTTAAATATATTCTTTAATAAATTCATATTTCGTTGATTTTAAGCAGTTGTTCAGTCGTTTCAATTTGATTTAAGACTGTAGCTGTAATTTAACCAAAATATCGTAAAAATCATGCTTCATTGTAAAAACACAAACCCTCTGATTTGAAAATTTTCAGCATCCTGGCTCTCATCCCATTTAGTTCTTCTCCAAGTTGTCAGCTGGCGCTCCACTTTAGAATTTGGGGTTAAAACGCTCAAAGCTCTAATGCCTTTGATTATTCCTTTGTCACCACGTACTCCATAAGAAAAAAAGGCTATCTTGAAATGAAATTTGGCTCTTAAATACGCGACCATGACAACAACTCGTTCAAGCAAGGAATTTCTCTCTTTTTATTTGGAGACGTCTCCGTCATGGACCATGTCCCAGCGAATTCCTTCCCCCCTTCCCGTCACTCCCGAAAGAGTTTTTTCCTGAGATAAAAAAAAAACTACATCGATCCGGTTTATAGAGAGAATACGGCGTAGGGAGAAAATTTATTTTTTAATTTAGCTTTATCACCATGCAACTGCGCGTAAGACTAATAATTTTAATAAATTAACGGTCTGCCTGCTTCTCTGGGCTTGCAATTTGAGCATCTTCCTTGCACTCTTTCCACTTTTCCTCTCTCGACTCAATATAAAGCGGACGAACAAAGCAACGGGTTTTTTGTGAGAGAACAATTTCAACTTTTTGGCGCGACTTCAATCATAATTTCTCTCTACTGACCTTCAGTGCTGTCTCAAGTAAAAATTAGTTTCGATGAACAGTAATTAGCAATTTTCAGGAATTATTAAGAAACGAGAATAAAAATATATTTGTAATCATTTTGTTATTGCTTCCAGTCCATGGTAGGAAAAGGGTTATTTTGTTTAATTAAAATTTTGCCGCATGTGATTATTTAATTTCATGCAATACACTTCGTTGCTTTTCCGAGAAGGTGTCTTTATTAGATACATTTAAAGGTCCATTGTTATTATTCCTCCCCTAAACAAACAAAAAGAAACACAAACAGGTGGCCACTTGTTAAATATTCATAGTTGCCCTCAAAGAAACAAGTAGCGATCAGTTTGTTATGAAAACATTGATCTTTCTCTTGTCTCAGTGAGACAACAGTCATCAATTAAAAAGAACAAGTGAGGAAAGGAATAAGAATCTCCACCTTAAAAGTGGTAAACACCTGTGAATTGTTACACCTCCACACTTACACCGGCGTCACTAACTTTCATGTATGTGTTGTAACGCAAAAGCAGAGCTAAGAATTTCACAAATTGTAACCAAATTTTGAATATCAACGTAACGATTTGATTGTATTTCTAAATTTATTTTCTAATTACTCTTCATTCCACAGAATAAGGATGTTGTCAGCTGCTGTACTGTTGGCACTGGTGACCGTATCTGTGGCTTCTGAAGGTAAAGTGACTTGTTTTCTGAAGAAACGTGTTATCTCTTGCCAAAGTTCAAGAGTTTACTTGAGGGGACCATTTTTGAAAGACTTGAAAATTTATTTCTTGTTTATTTTAATGTAATTGATCATTGAAAGTCGCCACCCTTTAAAAACACTCTTGGAAACAATAGGGGAAAAAATACCCCTAGAAGAAACAAGATGAGAAAAGGCACGAATAGGTCACTGATTGATCCCTTTAGCTGTCTTTGAAACTAGAAAAGACTTGTTCTCGTTTTTTTCAATTTCCATTTCATCAAATGGGATGTGTTCATCCAGTTGTATGACTTTGGTGTGAGTGAAAGTGCATCTTGACAATGACTGTTGTGAACAGCAACACCGTTGCCTGGAGACATTTCAACGATACTTGCAATGTTTGATGCTCACTTGAAGTGTCATCTCTTTTTTCTAATTTATCTAGCGATACTCGTAAAATCTAAAGCCTTTCTTTCATCCAGACGTCGAACGAAAAACCGGTACCAGCAATTTTGAAAGGCAACCCCATCAAAACGATCAAGGCAACCTGTAATGGCATGGCACTCTGTTCAAGGGGGGTCAAAACTTTTCACCATAACGAAAGCCACAATCACGAAACCCACCAACTTGTTCCTCGAATGAATGTTGAGAAGAGGGTAAAGCTGGAGTTTCTGATCTAAAAGTCTCCAATCATCATAAGACCTTCTCTAGCAGGGGAAAACTTAAGAAATTCTCGTTTTAAACCCTTTGAATCCAGCTTGATCTTAATTAGCTTAAAAAGAAGCGACTTTCTGCGGCGTGATTGTATCTGATGACATATTTTTCATTCCTTCTTCATCTCAACAGGAGCAAAGTGGAAGTACGGGGAAACAGACAGTCACGGTACAGACAACAGAGTCTTGAAGTATAGATTAACAATTCATTTACTGTATGCTGGTTTATTCCAGATATTCAAAATTTTTCGCATGCTTTAAAACTATTGTAAATAAATCTCGTACCCAGATTCTACCGTGTAACTAACTGAAATGTATCCGCTCGGCCGTGGAATGTCTGGGTACCAGACTATAATACTACTCATACAAACAAATGAAAACATAGTGTTTACTTTTTGCTCAAAAATCTATTTAATATAATCCCTTATTTTCCTATTAACGCTGATATTCCTAACAGGTTATGGTCCACCTGACTGGGGTAAAGTTTCAAAATACTGCGATTACACCGCCCAGTCCCCCATAAATATCGAGACTCCGGTTAAGAAAGATGCAAGTCTCAAGGGACTCAGATTTACAACCAAGAATAGAAATGGAAGGGTCAGCGGAGACATAAAAAACAATGGTCATGCGCCTACCCTAACTATTGACAAACGCAAAGGCAAGGCTAGACTCACCGGGGGTCCCCTTGGAGATAGCGTGTATATGCTCCAGCAGTTCCACTTTCATTTCGGTTGTGATTACGACGAAGGATCCGAACACCTTGTGAACGGAAAGGCATATCCTGGAGAGGTACGCAATAGTAGCTCTCGAAACTTTTTGTTTTCCATACGTAATCACGGCGGGAGGCGTTAGCACTACGACCACTAACTGAAAGCACCCGTGACAAATTGTTCCTCTGCTACAGGTGCTTAAGGACTAGTCATCATTGATCACCTCACCTGGGGAGGGAGTGACGGTTTTTATTGTTGGAGGATGGATTACATGGTTTTCAGGGGAACAGGAGGGGGAATTAGTTTTCGTTAAAAAATCGACCGCCATTAACCGCCAATGAGGGGGAAATATAGACATATTTACAGAGCCTTCGGAGGGATCGGAAAATTTAATTATGACCCAATCAAAATCCTCCAGCTCCCATCCCCTCTCAATCCCCTACCATCCCCCCTTCGCCCCCTCCCATCCCCCCTCAAGTGATAACGACCGGTCTCTTAAGTCGTTCCGTCAAAGTCTCAAAATTTTCACATTGGATTTCTTACTGCAATTTGATTAAGTCAAGTCAGTCAAAGCAAGATGACATTTACTAATCACAATCGAGGAAAATATCTAATCTCGTGTCCAGGTCCTACCGTTTAGTGCTTGTCCGTGGAAGGTCTGGGTACAAGACCTGAAAATATCACTGGCTATGAAGCAAACTGTGTGAAGCGTGGAATACGCGAGTGGCTATTAATCTTGTATGGCTCTAGTTTGGCATCTGGTCGGCAGATCAGAGAGGAACTATTTACAATATTGTACTTCATGTATAATTTCAATTTATCGTCTTTTAGCTCCATTTGGTGACTTATAACACAAAGTACGCTGATTTTGATACCGCTGCGTCCCAATCCGATGGACTGGCTGTGATTGGCGTTTTCTTTGAGGTATGTATGGAAATGTCATATATGTTTCTAGATCAACTTTACCAGGTATTTTGTTAGTGGGGGATTTGGAAAAATATAAAATTTTTCTGGAATAGTAATTGTTCCTAAAATGAAAGAATCAGCCGCATAGTGGAATCGGTAAGGGTTGGGGAAGACTGGGGTAGAGAGGTAAAGTTGAAGTTGAAGTCATCGTAATTGAGGAAGTTGAAAATTGGATTGATTGAAGAAAAATGCACATCAAGAGCTTTTCTTTAGTGAGATCATTTGCATACCTGTAAAAAATACCCCGTACAGTTGCAAGGGATTTATTCCTGCTCCACGACAAACATTAGAGTTGGCAACGCTCGACATTAGTACACTGGTATACTTCATACTGCACATTGTACAAAAGGCAGCAAAGAGGGTCAGATTAGAGAACTAACGTTAAATATTGGCTTGGGAGATGGAGTGCATCACTCTAAGAGGAACATCTTTCAGTTAAAAACTTCTAAGACGATGATATCTTTAATGTGAAAACATGCTTCCTGTTTCAGGAAAAGAAGAAAAGAGAAAAAAGGAAAGGAAAAAAGCACTATGATGCCATCCGCAAACTTTACTCAGCTCTGAAAAAAATAAAGGACGTTGGTGAGGCTTTAGCAACTTACATCATCTTATATATCCATTTATAAATCCGTTTGTCTCACGCCATAGAGCCTGTAAATTCAAGAGTAAAGCTATCAATCAGAGATAAAGACGTTTCCACTGCTCTACTTTCTTTTCTCCTAAGACCATCCATAGATTTTCAAGCAGAAGTTTCATGAAGTAACACAACATCAACGGAAGGGTATTTTTTTATTTGAAGTAAATTTTCAGAACCAAAATTAAACGAAATGTAGGGTTATACCTAGATATTGGAAGCGAAAAGGTTAAACATTTATAACATCAGGGCAGCTAATACAACCACTTTCTCTCCCAGGTGCCGAAGCTTCAGTCAAAAACATAGCGCTGTTCGACTTGGTTCCTGAACTGAAAGATCTCTCATCTTTCTTCTCCTACAAGGGTTCCCTTACCACCCCTCCCTGTTATCAATCAGTTAACTGGATTGTACTGAAAGAACCCATTAAACTCCGTAGTTTTGTGGTAAGAACATTTTTATGCTATTTTTCTGCTTTTTAACATTTAAACACTCTTTAAGTGCCTGAAAAATTAGCACTTACGCGTTTCACATATCGCCTACTAAAGCATTCAAACGCACTAGAGTCCAATTTTAGACACTAGTGTCTGAATTAAGAAACTTGTGTCCGATTTTAGATTTTAGACAAAAGTGTCCGTTATTAGATTCTAGTGTCCCATTTTAGATACTAGTGTCTGGTTTTTCAGATTTTAGACACTAATGTCCGATTTTAGGACGATAAGCAGTACCTGACGTCTCTAAATTGGACCCTTTTTTCTTTGTGATGCTACTGACACTTCACAGCGCACAAACGTTTGTGTTTAAAGTTATCTATACCTAAAAGTCCCTAGCTTTCTATAACTTTTGTTTTTTTCCGATCTTCTATCCACAGTTAATGTGATTTTTTTTTCAGTTCGGCGCCATGAGGAGACTGAAAAACGGAGAGGGAGGCCTTACGTGTGGAAACTTCAGACCACCTCAGAAACTCAACGGACGTGTTGTTTCTGAACTCGACGGATGAGCCCAAGAATCAACTCGCAACTGCTTAACACTACAGTAGCTAATTTACATCCTCCAAGAGAATATAAACTCTTTATAATCGCCTAGATACTCTTAGCTAGATTGAGTGACGTATTCTGGGGGTTTCTTTCTTAAGCAAGGATTGTTAGCGACATCCAAATAAACTGCATTTATCGGATATGTTTGACTATTACTGTTTATTCAAAAGAAAATTATTCAAATCGCCAAGAAAATTATGATGGTAGACTTAATTACTCTTTAAAAGAAAGGAACATTTATCACAAATCTCTACCGAATGGGGATCAGTTCCTTAGAGCAAGATACCGTATCCCAAAGACATCTCAGTCATAATGATAATAAATGCTCTGAATAATTTATTATTATTATTCATATGGTTCCATTTCTTAAAAAAAAAACGAACAAAACAAGATATTCTTAGTCCAGGAAGAAATTATTATGACACCCGATGAAATGGCAAAGAGATATTTTGCGTTTATCGTGATTTGGAAGTAAAAACCTTCTTGCCACATATTCGCTGGCACGAATTGGACGTAGATGAACAAATGATGCAAAAGACTCAGCAGTTGACTAATGTCCAAGGGCAACTAAAATAGCATTGAATTGAAGGGCAGCTACGAGAGAAAGATGGACAACTGAGGGAGAAGACACAGCAGTTGACAAATGTTGAAGGGCAGCTACGAGAGAGAGATGGACAACTGAGGGAGAAGACACAGCAGTTGACAAATGTTGAAGGGCAGCTACGAGAGAGAGATGGACAACTGCTTGAGAGAAAATAGAAACTGAAAAATATTTTGACTTTTCAATCTACCGGAATGAATCCTCAACGCTGTTGAGTATTGGCATTTTCGAAGGTAACAGCATCAATTTACAAATAACTGTTGAGTTATAAACATTTTCAAAGCTAAAAAAAAAGACCTTTTTTTAGCATTGAATTAGTTCGCAACCTTATCGATCTCCCGTGAAAACACTTAAAATACAACAAAATGTAAACTTTGAAGAAAGAATGGAATGCTTGCCTTTCTACACGAGCTTCAAAACAGTTAAGGTTTTAAGGATCTGGATCTGGAAAAGTTAATCATCCTTAAAATCATAACTCTTTAGTGTCACCTCTTTCGTCTATACTTATATGCCAACTTACCGTAGAGGAAAAAATTACTTTGACACAAGAGAGTGAACTTTGACAAGATACCTTCGTGAAACGGTTTTAGACTTGCTTCGTTTGGTTCAGTTTCATCGGTCTAAAAATTGTTTTGTGTGACCATGATTTTATCTTGAGTGAGTGTTTAAAAATTAAAGAAAATACCATTAGACAAATCTTAGATTTCTTTGTTTGGAGAAGAACTCTGTCTTTTTTAGTCAATCGAAAACAGCTGATGCAAAAAGCAAAGTGATCTGTCATTCTGAGATTCTGAAAAAAAAAACAAGCAGCAAATTGATAGTCACTTTGTAAAAATTAGATTATTATTCTTTGATTAATTCACAATTCGTTTCGACAATTTTGCAGTTTACTTACTTAATAATGTTTCTTATCAGCCTTGATTAAGCGGTTGTTCAGTCGTTTCAGATTGATTTAAGACTATAGCTGTAATTTAACCAAAATATCGTAAAAATCATGCCTCACTGTAAAAACACAAAACCTCTGATTTGACAATTTTCAGCATCCTGGCTCTCATCCCATTTATTTCTTCTCCAAGTTGAAAGCTGGCGCTCGATTTTAGAGTTTAGATTTAAAACTCTCAAAGCTCTAGTCCCTTTGATTATTCCTTTGTCACCACCTACTCCGTAAGAAGAAAAATTTGATCTTGAAATGAAATTTGGCTCTAAAATACGCGACTATGACAAAAACTCGTTCAAACAAGAAATTTATTTGATCGTGATTGTTATCTGTG